TTTTTAAATATTTTATTTTTATTTTAAAAATATTTTATTATCTTTATTTTATGTGTATTGCCTACATGTATGTGAGTGCACCCATGTCATGCAATGCCTGAGGAAGTCAGAAGAGGGCACAGGATCCCCTGGAACTGGAGTTAGGACAGTTGTTAGCCTCCATGTGGGTGATGGGAATTAAACCTGTGTAGGTCCTCTGCAAGAGCTGTCATCTCCCCACCCTAAAAACAAAACAAAACAAACAAACAAACCTCTGTTTATTAAATCTGGGCCTTCTGATCAGTATTATGATTAAAGCTTACTTCTGTGGGTGCTGTCAGTTCTCAAACTAAAATGGTGAAAACTCCTTCACTTTATCAGAGGCAGGTCTGGAATATAAAAATGCTTTTTTTCTCTTGTTATTTGCAGGACTGGATGGCCTCTCAGAACGCTGTGCTCAGTATAAGAAAGATGGTGTTGACTTTGGGAAGTGGCGTGCTGTGCTGAGGATTGGGGACCAGTGTCCCTCCAGCCTTGCTATCCAAGAAAACGCCAATGCCCTGGCTCGCTATGCCAGCATCTGTCAGCAGGTGTGCTCCTTGCCCCTTGGGCTAAGAACAGTAGGCTAGCTCGTTCTTTGGAGCCTCACTTTTTTGGAGGGGAGGGAATTGAGGCAGGGTCTCTCTGTAGACCTGGCTGGCCTGGAACTCTCTATGTAGACTAGGCTGGCCTCCATCTCACAGAGTCTGCCTGCCTCTGCCTTCTGAGTGCTGGGATTAAAGGCGTGTACCACCACCCCCAGCACTTTTAAATTTCCCAATAATCCTGCTTCTTCCTGCAGTAGTGATACTGGTAATATATTTTACTACTTTCACCATTGCCACATGTGTAGGGAGAGATTTAGTTCCAACGAGCCTGTAGGAGCTCTAGTAAACTATGAGTACAAAGGTCAGTGATATCACCTGCTGCCCAACACAAAGTTTCATAAGCCAAGTCTTAAAAATGATTAGGCTCTCAAGGCAGGGAACTTGTCTTAATCATCTGTATTTCATAATGCCCAAGATCTGATCATTTTAGATGCCTGGCTACAGGATGATAGCTTAGAGCTTGTCTGCATTGAACTTACTTTTTATAGGATGGAGACTTAATGCTAAAGTTCCCAGCAAAAATATTGAAATATGACTGGGCCAGAGTTAAGTCTGATTTTCTTTCAAGGGTGTTTTGTAAGGGTTACTGGAATTGTGGGCACCTGAAAATTCCCAGTGAGAACTGAATTCAAAGGCTCTCCTTGAATTCATTAAATAATTCATACTCAAGGATCTTTCTTAGTGATTTAAACTTGACTGTCTTAGCAGGGTGGAAGCGAGGTTCTGAGATAGCTAGAATAATCTCTAGTTTGGAGAAAGGTATAAATATTAGAGGTTTGCATTTTTACCCATTCCTGAAAAGCTTTTCTTTAACTTCACTTTTTTTGTCCAAGCCACAACTGTTCCCTGACATACTCTCAGTTCCTTTTAGTTCAATTATGTAGTGTCTCTACAGCAGCTTCCTTCTAGCAGTCATATCTATCTGTGGACTGCTTCCAAGCAGAAGAGCATCACCTCACTTCACTGCCTCTTCCCTTTTCCTTTTCAGAATGGGCTGGTGCCCATTGTTGAACCAGAGGTACTTCCTGATGGGGACCATGACCTGGAGCACTGCCAGTATGTTTCTGAGAAGGTAGGTTTTGAATACAAAGCTTGCAAGTCCATTTTTAAATTTTTGATTTTAAGAAACAGCTGTTGCTGAACATACAATAGCTGTATTGCAGAAATAGCCTTTAGTCCAGCATCATTATGTAGAATGGGAAAGGTAAAGAGGTGCTCATCCACACTTCACATTTTAGTATATGGTATGTTGCTCTCATGGAATACTGAGACTTGGTTTGGACAATCCTTTTGCCCACTGTGGGACCTTGGGAAAGTTCTATTACAATTCTATGTGTACTTTATGAAATATTAAATAAAATACAAGGTTTGTAAGGAAAAATACAATTAGGAGGCATGTTGTTCACATGTGATTTTTCAAAATCAGTTATAGTATTTCTGAAAGATAGTGATTTTCCTCATATACTATGAGAAAGTCTGCTAGAAATACTATTATCTTACCTTAATTTCTCCATTTGTAAAAAAAAATATGTAGACTGACCTGGGATTTGAAAGAATTCTGTTTCTAAAATGGATGCTTATCATTCAGATTCTGTGGGGATGGAAAGTGGAAGCTAGCGAGTTTAGATGTCCCAAACTAAGTCAAGGCACTCAGGTTGTTGACATTGATCAAGGGGAAAACAGGAAAAGATGAGTGAAGAGTCTCAAGGAAACAGAATTTTGACAATAGTTCATGCAGAGGAACAAATCAAGTAGATATGATGGGGAAAGTCCAGCTGGTTGGGCTCAGTGCTATAATTTGCAAAGCCATTGCCCAGAGGGAGACCTGGAGGCTGATTGCAGAAGCTTTGGTAAAGAACGCCTTTATGAGAATTCCTTCATCTTGCATCTTTGTATTGTACAAGTGCTAAGGTCAGGTGACTCTAAGATTGACTCTGTGTTTCATCTATTTGGTTCCCTTGTTCTTCAGGTCCTGGCTGCTGTCTACAAGGCCCTCAATGATCATCATGTTTACTTAGAGGGCACCTTGCTAAAGCCAAACATGGTGACTGCTGGACATGCCTGCAACAAGAAATATACACCACAGCAAGTGGCTTTGGCCACCGTCACAGCTCTCCACCGCACTGTTCCTGCAGCTGTTCCTGGTAATAGCTTTTTTCTCCTCTGCTGAATGTCCTAGCCCTCAACCTCTGGAGGAGGGCCACAAACATTTGCATCTGCAGAAAGTCAAGGCTGTTCTATCCTCGAAACAAAGTGTCTTCTATCTCACAGGCACCCAGCACTTCATATCCTACTCTGTGATGCTAAGTGTCTTGAGTGTATCTGAAGGCTGACATCTGTGCTTTTCCTCAACATTTTTACTTCCCACCTTATTTATTAAAGCTCTTCTCTCTTTAGCCTTGCGGGTCTCAGCAAAGGCAAACTGACTTATGGGACCTGATCCCATGAAAAGATTGAAACATTTATTTTAGGCCTATTGCTTGATTTCTCAAATGGGGTATGAAAGCTGGGACTAATACAGTGGTACGACTCCTCCTCTTCCAGGCATCTGCTTCTTGTCTGGAGGCATGAGTGAAGAGGATGCCACGCTCAACCTCAATGCTATCAACTGTTGCCCTCTGCCAAAGCCCTGGAAACTAAGCTTCTCATATGGACGAGCCCTGCAGGCCAGTGCACTGGCTGCCTGGGGTGGCAAGGCTGCCAACAAGAAGGCAACCCAGGAGGCTTTTCTGAAGCGGGCCCTGGTAAGAAGCTGCTTTCCTTTGTCTTCTTCACAGAGTTGATAAGTGGGTCTGACACACTTGCTGACAGGAGCATTTTTTCCTTTGGTTCATGAAGGTTTCTACAGATAGTGTCCACTATGTATTTAAAAATGTGACCTGAGAGCTCAGCAAGAGGATTGGGGTTAGAGAGAGTTTTCAATTTTCCACCCCAGTGGGACAGTTGATAACAGAAGATTAAGACAGTCTCTGTGCAGGCACTTCGGTAGGAAGAAAACAAGAGGACCAAGGTCTGAGCTGGGATGACTTTCATTTGGGAATATGAACAAAAAAGCTACCAAGAAAATTATATAACAGGATGCACAAAGGATCCTAGAACAAATGGAAAAGAGTCTCAAGGGCTCAACATAATATACTACAGAGAAATGAGAAGCAAAGGCCAGGGAAAGGCACTGAGATTGGCACTGACGAGCATGCCAGTGACTTTCAACAAGGAGAGTACAGCAAGGGTGTTCATTTAAGAATGTTGCTAGGAATTCAACAGGCAGCAAACTAATTGGACTCCATGGGTTACTAACAACAGCAAAAAAGAGATGGACACCAACTGGGGAAGGGGAAGTATTGGTGGCCCCTGAGGGAAGTGGGAGAAAAGAGCTGAGGGTCACTTGGGGGAGTTGGGGGTGCATATGATCAAGATACATTGTTTACATGTATAAAATTATAAAGAACAAAGAAAATATATTCTATTTATGGGGCTAGAGAGATGGCTCAGAGGTCAAGAGCACTGACTGCTCTTCCAGAGGACCTGGGTTTGATTCCCAGCACCCACATAGTGGTTAACAACCATCTGTAGCTCCAGTGCCAGGGGATCTGATGCCTTCTTCTGACCTCCGTGGCATTGCATGACACAGGTGCACTTACACACATGCAGGCAATGCACTTATATACATAAAATAAAAATAATAAATAGAATATTTTTAAGAAGATATTCTATTTATAAACAAAATAATTTTGTTGGGAAAAGACCAGAAAGGTGATCAAGTGAAATGAAGACTCAAATAAAAACATTCAATCTAGTAACCATTAGATTTTTAAATACCCTCCATGAGCCAAGGACTGGGGTGAACAAACCAGACACAGCTCCTGCTCTCAGGGAGTTAGGAGTTCAATGAAATAGGAGAGAAGACGACATGAATACATGCAAAGCAAAAGGAGCTTAGGAAGACAGTGAGGATTAGACAATGAGGATTGGAGGTAGAAGGCCGGAAAGGATACAGGACTGCATGAGATTAAACGCTATTGCTCTTACACAATAAGGGGTAAGAGGTGGAAGAGAGTGGTGTTTGGATGGCATTAGCTTGGTTGAAGTAAAAAAAAAATAGCAGTTGATTACAACTGCTGGGGATGAAAAAGAAATTGGGAGCTCGATCCTAACAATAGGGATAGATGTGAATACCTAGTGAAGAAATCTGCTAGGAAATCTACCACAGGTTATGGCCAAATAGAGCCAAGCATTAAGTTACAGCTGAAATGAGATGGAGTTTGAGGTTCATTAGCTTAGTTCTTGAGTTTTTCTAAAACTCTCTAAGCCTTTATGAAGGTTCAGATAAGCCTGAACAGGAAGCAGCAAGAGTAAAAGAGGATAAGGATAATAGAGAGGGAGAAGAGTACTGACTCTTAGTGACGGTCTCATCTGGCTTGATGGCCATAGAGAAGGGTGGGCAAGGAATCAAGGTATTCAAAGATTTGGCCATGAGACACTGAAGGAAAGAAAGTCCCAAGGAGGCTGAAAAACTCTGAGTCATACGAAAAGTGTAAGAGTTTAAAGGTTGTGCTTTACCATGATGCCAAAAGGCAGGGGATGCATGTGCTGGCATGTGCCTGATGGGTGGGAATGCATGTGCTGGCACGCACCTGATGGGTGGGAGGTGGAACTCCTAGGATGGAGTGATTGTGACAGTAAAGGACAGAAGGGAAGTGAGTTTCTCATCTAAGAAGGAGATTCTCAAGCTTGAGTGCACATTATAATCACAAGCAGGCTTATTAAGATGCAGGCTGCATTTCTAACGTGGCAGATTGTGAGTGAGAGCAGTAAGTGTCCATTTTTGACCAATTTCTAAGTGATGATGATGGTCAATGAGAACCACTGATGTAAGATCTCAGAATCTAAAAGCCTTGAGAACAGACAACAGCAACAATGACGGACAAACTGGCACCACCGAGTGGCACCCAGCTGTTAGCACAAACGTTGAATAATTCTGAATTTAGCTCTGACTGGAGTGTACATAGGGGATAAAATGATACAATGCTAACAACTGTATAAAATACACATTCTTGTGGATCAATACCGGAATAACAGAGGGAAATTAATTTTATTTTGTTGTAGTGGACTATAATAGTAAGAAGTGTCTCAACTTTAATTTCTAGGACTATTTTTGCAATATGGTTGGCACAAAAAGAAGGTTTTTCATAATATTGGCATGAGCCTCAAGCTGTCCAAAGAAATGATCAGAAAATTAGGATAACAAGGAAGAAAATATATGCTAGAGGAAGGTGGTATCATGAGAAATAAATAAATGGATAAAAAATAAACAAATGAAAGTGTAGCTGTTTTACATGAGTGGAGATTGTAAGGAGGGGTGTGCCTCTCAACTCAGGATCCTCTCTCATGCTTGTTTTCCAGGCCAACTGCCAGGCGGCCCAGGGAAAGTACGTGCACATGGGTTCATCAGGTGCGGCCGCCACCCAGTCGCTCTTCACAGCCTCCTACACCTACTAGGCCGTGACACCTGCCAGCCAGGCTCTGGCTCCCCTAAGTGCTTTGGCTGGAGAGCTGAAAAGGTGTCAATACACCCAGCAAACTAGAAAAAATTACATTGGAACTGCTGACAACACAATATATGTAAATTTTAAACACAGAGCTAAAGCCAGATCAGTTGTTGAAACCTGAGTATGAGCACATCAGTATTCTCTGAACACCTCGAGCTCCCCATGCTCCAGAACATTCAAGAAAAGAACAGGCTTTAAAGGAAAACTAGATAAAAAATACTGAGGAGAACACTTCAAAAGCTGAGGGTGGAGAGAGGAGATGCATCTTATTAAATATCCTCACCAGGAGTAGGTTATGAAGGAGGCAGCAGCAATGGAAACGAAATAAAATGTCATATAAACCTTCAGTTGGTATTGTGTTTCACTCTCTGCTTTTGCCGATGGACTCTGTGTGTGTCACTGTCTTTGACTGTACTAGACATGACAGCATTAAGTCAAGATCCTCAGTTTGGGATGCTCATGGGCATTAAATGGAAGATGCTAAAGCCTCACTTTAACCCAATTGCACTAGAAACTATCAGATCTTTAGAAATTATTTTGTGATTCCAATACGCAGCCACATTTGAGAACAGCCAATCTAGATTTCAAGTTTGAAAATATTTGAAAATTAATATTAAGCCACAACATAGAATCATTTCTGACAACTTGTGGAGTGTAATCAGCAATTTGAGGTGCCTTCACTGTTGGGGCACACCTCTTCAAGCACCCAGGTTTCGTGGCACAGGACTACATTTTCCTCTCATAATCTAGTATGTTCCCTAGTTTATAAATAAATATTCATATAATTTTAGTTTGGGGTTATCAACTTTAGACCTAATTTTCAGAAAAAAAGCATTAAAAAAAATCATAGTAACCAAAGAGAGCTGCAGCGTTGTGATCGGGTAATACAGAAAGAACGATTTAACTGATGGGAATTGGGACGAATAGGAATGAGTGGAACCAGGTTTGGTGGTGCGTGCCTTTAATCCCAGTACTTGGAAGGCAGAAGGCTTTGGATCTCTGTGAGTTCAAGGTTAACCTCACCTATATACCAAGTTCCAGGTCAGCTGTGGCTACAGGAAGACCCTGTCTCAACATAAATAAATAAATAAATA